AGCTCCCAAACAACTTACACAATGAAAAAGGGAGTGCCCGGTCTTGCATGACAATTCATTCTGCAAGACATGCATTCAAATTTAACTTTGAAAGACAATTTCTTTTGAAATAAAACTTACTTAGTTCAGTATCTGACATATCATGATGCTATCTTTTTCATTATCAAGCATGTCTTTATCTCTCTCTCCTCAAAGCAGTGAATACTGCTGGTTTTGTTTTTACTCATTCCTAATTTGGTTAATAATTTTTCTATACCTTGCTAAATAACCCTTACCAACATTTTCTTGATTTTTGTATTTTTATATGATAGAGCTGATACTACATTTCCGCTACTTCTAAAGCATTGAATTGATTGAATGGTTTAATTTCTTTATCTTTCTTCTTTCTGAAAATTCCTGTAGAGATGTATAAAAAGATCAGTGGAGCAGGATAAATGCTGCTTTCTAATCTAATGTAGTTCCCTTAAGGGGAAGTTTACTGGAGTAAAACTTTGAGTCTCTGACTTGTCATTCTAGTCATAGTGTCTTTAGTTTTGAATTATCTTGTTTCCTGGAAAAATTTAGACTTCAAATGTGGAACTTCGGTTTTCTCAGCTGAGAAGTTCTATGAGTAGTTCAGGAACCGAGGAATATCTAAAAGCGCATTAAAAATTCTTAAGTTTTCCTGTTAAAATATTGAATGATATAATGTTATGAATGTTTGTGTAGTATAAAACTGTTGGTAATAATTAATAACCAAGACATTTTGATACCGATAAACTAATATGTATTGAGGAAGTTAAGGCAGAAACCAAAAAAGTATAATATGCAATTCAGCTGCTTCAACCCACAAATGTTTATTTCTGTGTCTAAAATTGATCTATCAATTCAATAAAAAATTATGACATTTTCTGCTTCTTGCCTGGAAATTTCCCAGGACCCTGCTTCTTGGTGCTGTATGTGCCCAGAAGGACTTTCTTCAGAAAAAAATGTGGTTTTAGTCTTTTGCTTGTGCCACATTAAGTTTGTCGAGGTACGCAAACTTTTCAAGTTCTTCATCTAGTCGTATGCGTTGGTCATGATTTTGAATTAGCTCATGGAAAAATCTGTGAAACAGCTGCTTTCTCTTCAAAAGACATGAGGAAACTGAAAGAGTGCTTGCCTCTTTGACTCGTTAGAGTCATTGCTGAGAAATGGGAGATGGAGCTTTGCTACCCTCCTCAGCCTGAGGGAGTTAAATAAACCTCAATCCCTGCGTCTCCGGACTGTGCTTGAACTACTTACTACCGAGTTTAGTGGTACACACCACACCCCTAGAGACTGTGCGCTGCAAGAGTTAATCAGCCTTGCCCTCTTCACTTCATAAACACCCAGCTTTGGCAGGCAGGTGGCCTGGCACCCAGGAGGCTGCCCTGCATGCTGGGAAATACAGGCATGGGAGCTCTTCCTGAAAAGGAAACTCTATCTCCATCGCCCAGGTTCTGGCTGTCTTAGTTGGTAAGATAATGTTACAGAAGAGTCTATCCACACCTTCTAAAAGTTGATTCTCCCTCATTTCTGCAAAATAGGGAATAGATTTTAGTTTCTGAATTCCAGAAGAATCCCTGACCTCTTAGCTATCCCAGTCGCACCCTAAATACATAGGGAGACAAGGGTTTGGGGCATATCCTTTCGATTTTAGTACTGGGTGCTAGATATGGATGATTGACTTTCATTTTAGCCTTTGAGATTTGTTGGATTGCTTCAGTATCATCTGTGTAGGCTCTCCACTTTCCAGGACACCTATCTCTGGATTTTAAATTCTGCTCTGGAGCACAGTCACCTACAAGACAAGAAAATGGCCTATAAAAATCTTTGAGGTATAGGACAGGATTTTTAATTAAGACATAAAGGAGAACAGAAAGCAAACATGGTAGTAGGTGGTAGATTTCCAGAAATAAATTATGATGAGTGAGAAAGACATGGGTAATTCATTCTAAGAATAAACTGATAATGCTGCTGAGAAAAAAGATGTAATAGCCTGTAAGTGCAAACAAAATAAAGACATACATTATTTGTTTAGTACTATTTGCTTTGTTTAAAAAGGAGAGAAGAAGGTGCTAGTTTTGTAATTGTGATACCGCTTTTGTTCCCCTTAATACTGAAGAATAAAGTTTAAAGTCTGTGGTGGGAGAGGAGTTTTAATATGTCCTCCAAAGGCTGATAGTGGACCTAGTGGGATTCCTCAGAATAGCATTAGTGTGATTGCAACAAGAATTAATTTATTCATTGGTGGAGCTACTGGTGAAACTTCGGTTCCCACAAAAATAAAACTTCCCTTTGAAGTAGGTCTGACAGAGTAGGTAGGAAAGATGTCAGTAACAGTTTCTGTATGTTTTCTTGAGGAGGAGGGCGTTTTGGAGGATGGTGTCCACCATAAATGCTTACCTTCTTACTGCTTAGGAGGGAAGGGGAGTGAGAAGATGACAGTTGAGGGTTTGAGAGTATTCATGAATTGTTATGTTTGCTTTTCTCAAGAAAAATAGCTGATTTACATTTCTCGGGTATTATTTGGGAAGCATAAGAAATGAAGGGATTCCCCAGCCTAACTGTTCTTCTGAACTTTAGAAGAACAACTCACCATCTGAGTCTGGATCAGAGATGAGATCTTGGGAATGTACAGCTTTCATCATGCTGATGATTTTTTCTCACCTTGGTCAGTGAAAAATTTAGTCATAGAAACAGAGCTGCAAGGACAGTTCCAGCTCTTCACTGACAAAGCTTCTGTTTAAATATTGTCAGCTTCCTTAATAGTACCTTGCTCCTTCCGTGGAGCTCTTATTTGTGATACTTGTGAAATTGCAGAGTTTCAAGGAAGTGCTTAGCTCCTCATCTATGAATGTATATCCTACTCCAGTGCTTGGATAAATTCAGACGTGGGGCTAGAAGTCAGTGAGGACAGACAGCTGTAGGAGAACAGCTGGTGTCAAGGTCAGGGTGTCAGCAGCAGTGTGTCAGACCCCGCTGGAGACTGCAGTCAATGTCTCGTGCTCCGCAGGGCAGCTGGCATTGGTGTGGCTCTGCCGGTGCCCTGGTGAGGCCACTGGGGCTTCTGCAGCCAGGACAGAATGGTGGAGCTTGTGATGGTGCAGCTTCCCTTGGAGAGCTGTGTCTGCTCTGCCACGGAACCTTCTTGCTCTGCTTACAGTGGGATCTTCTCAAAATAATAGGAGCGTGTATGTAGATATGCATGTGCATGTATAGACTCAGTGGAGAAAAAGATAATCCAGGTATCTTTCAAATGCAGTCTGGTACCATTCATGTCAAAGACCAGATGGAAGCTGTATTTTATAGGCATGACACAGTCTTTCTCATGAACAGTATCTAGAAGAAGGGAGATGCTCCACTCCATGCTCAAACTGGTTAAAAAAATACTGAGATCAGCTCAGTTGGTCAGAGCATGGAGTCTGTAACAGCAAGGTTGTGGGTTTGGTCCCAGTTTGGGCCATTCACTTAAGAGTTGGACTCAGTGATCCTTGTGGGTCCCTTCCAACTCAGAATATTCTGTGAAAAAAATACTTTTCGTAAAAAGAATGTTTTTTTTTTTAACTTTCTATTTAGGGAAATGTTAGGTGGTGGTGGTCAGTTCTGAATCTGAGATGGCTCCAACTCATTGTTTGCTTGCTCAGGTTTCAGTGATTAGCCTTTCTCAGCATCAGCTGCTCAGACCTTAGTCTTTGGGCTGTTTCTGCTGATACCTGCAATATCTTCACTCGGCTCATTGGGAAAACCAGGATTTCTAATATGGCCATATGATTACCAGCACATAGGCTGGCAGCTAGATTTTAGAAAATGTCAGAAAGAAAAAGGGAAGGGGACTGTGTCTTTAATCCCCAGCTTATTAGGGGGTTATTCCCTTATTAATGCTGACCACGCCAGCAGAGGGAAAGGAACTGGTGGGACAGAAATGAAGGGCTTGAAGGAGATGGTAAACTCCCTTGTTTTGATACCTGATTTCCACTTCATGCCAAAATGAAGTGGTCATACAATTACAGGCTCCAGCTCTTATTTTAGTATGGTATGAATCACCTCTTGGATACACTCACCTCCTTCAAGCACCTCATGCTTATTTTTCTGCTAATCCCAAACACTGCAGGAGCTCTCTGAAATGTCTAGCAACACCTCTCTGCCATCATCCTCACAAAACTGGCAGCAACTGGGCAGATGCTGAGCTGGGACTGCCTCATCTGCCTTGAATTTTTGATCATTTGCATCATCTCCCTATGTCCTTTGGTGGCTTCTGCTTCCAGAATATTGGTACTTGTTGAGAACTATGTAATCTGAGGCAGGCAAATTTCATGTGCTTCTACAGGGCCTAGGGAAACCAACAGTTGGGAGCAGGGCAGGATTTCCACAGGCTGTTTATTGCACAAATTGTAAGCTTTTGTTATTTTTCTACATTAGCTTGACCAGTTATTCTCCTTATGAGGTAGATTATATGTACAAAATATTTATCAGTTCCTCTGCAATTTCTAGTGCTGACAGATGTTCTGTTTCTACAGTTCTGTACGTGTACCTTTGCAGGCATTATCTTTTCATTTTAACTAAAGCTGCGTGTACTACCTTTTCACGTAGCTGGGACACATGTTTTATTTCATGTATTTCAGTTCTGTTGTGTTTTTCTTGTTGTATGGCACTATGGCTTTTCCTTTGTCTTTCACCATTCAACCTTGCAAATTTACCACGAAAATTCAGCAGCTCAGGCACAAAATATACTTATCAGTTCTTACGTAACTGGTAACAATCAGAGACGATAATGCTTTACTTGCCTACCACAAATTTTCTTCTCAAGGAGTTTTTGTAGCATTTTGTTGGGTCCTAAACACAGTGCTTTTATTAGTGCGGTTCAAACAAGCTCTATTTCAAATCATAGATTTGCCAAATAAAATCTTAGTTGAGCATGGAATGAGAAACTTGTAAATATGAACTCAGAACTCAAGACTTTTCCACCATAACCCTTTCTTGCACTTTCTTCCTTTTAGTTGCTGATATGTGTTCAAGATGAGTGGGATGGGAGAAAATACCTCTGACCCATCCAGAGCAGAGTCAAGAAAGCGCAAGGATCCCGATCAGGTTGGACCCAGGTTAGTTCATTTACTTCTGGAAATATTAAGAGAATGAGTTAAAAAAATGTTACATGTGCTTCTGTTTTTCAGTTAAAAGATGACAAACAACATTCTTGCAAAGAGAAGTCAGTGCCAAACTACTTTATTGCAGTAATTCTGTGTTGTTGAGGGTTTGGGGTGGGGATGAGAACTATTCTCTTTTATTGTTGTTTGTTTGTTTATTTTTGAATCCAGCTTTGTGCCAAAATGCAGAATTTTGGTGACACTTCAGGAGAAATGTAAAAATGGTTTTTGGCATTCACTGCAAGAAGTCTTCAGTCACTCATTTTGTCAGTCTGAGATTTTTTTACCACCTCTGTTGTACGTTATAATCTAGGTCTTGAAAAATATTTTCCAGCTTTACAGCTAGCAACACAAATGCATTTTAAAGTATAACCACTCATTCATCTTTTCTTAAGACTGCCATAAATTCACAAGGAGGCAGGGAGTATGGATTGCTCAGTGTAACTATGTAAGCTGTATTATTTTCTCATACAGAATCACTATATAATAGTCTTTGGATTCTCAGTGCTGTGTGGGAGGGATACTTGTAAATATTCAAATCCTGACCCCCCCTCTCCTCCCCCCCAAATAATCTTGTGTTTTCAATTTCTAATCCCAATCCTCTTTTGAAACAAAAACATGACTGCTGGAAAAAAATAAGTAACATCTTTTCTAATGCTCCTTTCCTTGGTCCAGAGGAAACCTTTCTGTGCAAGAAACTTGTAAGTTATATTTTGGTAGTGAGAAAAAGGTGTTTTTGTTAAACTACTGTCAAGCCTTTTAAAATGATCTCTGAGCTGGCTAGAAGGCAAGTAAACTGACATTAAAGACAGAATTTTTATAAACTCCTCTTTCAGCCCTAAAAGAAGCACTGAGAAACGCAATCGTGAGCAAGAGAATAAATACATTGAAGAACTTGCAGAGCTGATTTTTGCAAATTTTAATGATATTGACAACTTTAACTTTAAACCTGACAAATGTGCAATCTTGAAAGAAACTGTGAAGCAAATTCGTCAGATAAAAGAACAAGGTAAGAAGACTAATTAATTGACTTCAGAATATTTTGTCTTGATTGTTATTTTATTTATGGCTAACCCGATAGTCTCTTCAGCTTTTGTTTAGCAAGTTCCCATGTTTTTCATTAATCAGTACTGAAAAATGCTGTTAAGTCATGGGAATAGAGTGTGTTAAGTATCATATTCAGTATTTTTAAAATAAGCTTCACTGAAAATTGTTTAGAGAGAGAAAAAATCGATCAGTCTGATGTGTGTATCTAATGGAATTGAAACCACTGGTGCTTTCACAAAAGTTAAGCTAGCAGATGGCTTTGGGAAAAAAACCACATACTCTTACATGGATGAGTAAGAACCCATGCAAAAGAGAAATGTCCAGGAGGGTAGGGTATGCAAGTGTTCTGCATATTCGTTTTGCTTTCTTTTGTTGGTATGAATAGATATTGTGGACTAAATTATCTGCGTCCTTTAAATGATGACATCATATCCTCAACTACAATAGATTTGAAACTATTCTAATCTCTAGATAGGGTCCTGTTATAAATGTAAACCACAGAACGTGACAGTTTTCTTCCTGTTCTTTGTCTAGAAGATTAGTTTTGTATTTCTTTTCTTTTGATATATTTCCTATTCAAAGAGAAAACCCAAATCTTTTAGAAACTTTAAATTTTTTGGAAGTGGGTTTTGTGCACGGGTCTGTCTAGGCAGGCACACTGCAGGTGTTTGGGGCATGTTCAGATTCTTACAGTGGGTGCCTATAATTTTTCTTTTGATGTAGAAGATTTATATCTCTTTGTAAACTGTGTTTAGAGTAATTCCTTTGATTTTCAAACAATTTAAACATCTTAGACTTTTTCACTTTTCTGTGGGAAAATAATTTTTCCTTTTCCATACTGTGTGTGTAAAATTATAAAAAGTGGAGACTGCATGTTTCATAATTTAGATACGTATTTATCTAAATATATAAGTAGATCTACAGTTATATGTACTTAGTTTTGGACATCAGTCTATTCAGAGCTGAATGGAAAGTGGAAAGATTCAGATTGTGTCAGTTGCCTCCAAAGTTCTAACTGATTAATCTTAAGGAGTGTTCTATTTCTCAGCTTTTTATCCTCTTTTTGCTGTTAGGTTGCTATGATTTTTTAAGTGGCTATTCTAGTGATGCTGCCATGCCCCATATTTGAAGTATACTTATTAACCTGACACAGTGTCCATCATTGTTTTGCACCTTGCTGACTTCTGAGATCTTCTTTTTGCCTTATTTTCTTCATCCTTTTCTTTTCTCAGATTGATTTTTAAGTTTGGGTTTGTTTGGTTTTTTGGGTGGTTTTTTTTTTTGTTTTTTTTGGGGTTTTTTGGGTTTTTTTTGGTTTTTTGCTGTCGCCAAGCAACACATACTCCTTATCTTTACCTGAGAAAAAGTAAAGGACAAAAAAAATTGTGTTTTCCTGGGAAGTGGGTACACAAAGGAAAATCTGCTAGTCCACTTTGGTAATTCAGTCAGCAGTTCTAGAAAATCTAGTCTGAAAATCTGGCTCTAACTCATGGTCACTTTGTCAAATCCAGGGTTTTGTTGTTTAGGACCAAAAATCACGACAGTAGTTTTCATGTTGTTGTGAAACATTCACACTCACCAGACCAGGTTAGATGTAAACTGTTGAAGTCATCAAGGGCCAGAATTGTGCCAAAGCTGAACGTGCAGTTAGTTTTTTACGGTCATAAAATCTTACTGCAAAAACAACTGAATATACAGTCCTAAAGACAGACTAAACTGCTGGGAGCACTGTTTATTTCAACAAGCAGAAGTAGTTTGCAACCCTTGAGCAATAAAGACACTAAATTGCTCTTTTTGATGTTGATTTGTTACACAAGGTTCTTCAGCTGAGGACAATTAGATGTTCTGGTAACTGGGTATCCACATAAAACTCACAGCTGGTACAGCCTGACTTTAAGTCTCTAAGGGGCACTGCAAAACACTGAGAACTTCAAGGTGGTCGTTAGTAGCATCTCAGAAGATCAGAATATTTGAAATTATTCCTTTGAGCTGATAAGGGTTTGATGCCTATTCCTACATAGAAGCTACTTCTGTTCATTGTAATAGCAAATTTAAAAGGCTTTTCCTTTTAAGAAGAATTCAAATGACAGCATACTCTGAAATGCAAAATTATTTTGGAACAGGCACTTCACTAACAAAAATGTCTCACATATATTAAGTGTCCAAATTGCACAAACAGTACACTCTACCTGTACTTCTATAGAGTGCCACAAAAAACCTGACATAAACAATGCAAACAGGTTGAAGACCTAGTGAGGCTGTTACTGTTGTTGTCTCATGTTTTATAGGTAGTTTATCACCTCACATTGGGAATCCTGCACTTAGATATGCTCATCATTTAAATGTGGTAACTTTTAGGTTGTTCCAAATCTTTCTGATTGGTCTTCCACTGTAAAGACCTGTTAGAACACCTTGACAACAGTCAAAAACTTGCATTATCTATTTCTAAAACAAAAGTAATTAAAATAATGCTGCACTTGCATAAAGTGCCACGAAATTCAGGTTAAAAATAATATTTCATTACAGTTATTTTGTTGGTTTTTAATGTTATGCAGAATACTTGTAGGATAAAACTAAATGAAAGTCCTGAAACTCTTCAGTGATTCTATACTGACAAATGGACAAATTAAGATGGCTTATTGGTCATACAGTGGGTCTGCTCTGCATTTCTTCCAAAGCAGATTAGATTAAATTAGTTGTATTTTTTGGAAGTTTTAGTGAAGAAGTTGTTTCTTTGAAATAAATACTAAAAATTCTAATTGCACATGAAGATCTAATTACTTACAAAAGTACAGGTCAGTTATAAATACCTTGAAAAGCCACTGAAAGCAACAAGTTTTATAGCTTCTACTGAGCTTTGTCAAGGAAACTGTATTCTAGGTTCTAGGAATAAGAACAAGGAAGGATGAAATGCAGATTGATATTTGTTTCCCATGTCAAGCTAGCTGGGCTGGTAGCTGAAAAAAGTAATAGATCTTTTGCTTTAATAATACTATATAATTTAGTATAATGTTATCCTGATCTATTTTATATGCAAATATATACTTAGAATACTTTATCTGTTATCTTTATATCATTTCTCACAGTGTATACTTCAAAGATTGCTAAGTTGTGGTATGTTAGAGATTCTGTTTATTGCAATTTGAAGGCAAGTTATAAATGCATTTGTAAAGCTAAATTAATTTTAAAAATTCAAGATATTTGGAAGATGTAACCATTGCATGAAGTTTTAATCTGGGTTTTGAAATGGTTTTAGTGCTTGGGAAAGTGATGACAAGTTATTTTACAAAAGCTTAAATTTCTACCGAGGATTTTTATCATATTATCTTAAAATGATTGGATGGAGATTTTGTCAATGTCCAGAGGAGGTGAAAAATTGTGATTATAGCATGAAGATGAAACAGAAGTTGTAGTCATGTAAATCTTAAGTGGATATCTCTGTTGGGGATTTGAGACTCGTGTTTCAAACACTTTGGAAAACACTCATTCAGTTTTTTATTTATAACATAAAAGTAATTTGGAACAGTTGTGTTACATGGTCGCTGAAGTGTAAGCTCCCCTGTTGTTTGCAGTCCATGTTAAGTTTCTTGTACAGGGTAATGGTCATGTATGTTACAGATGTGTTCATAATGTGTACAGGCAAGTAAGTCCTGATTTGCACACGCTTAAATTTAAAAACCTTGTGTTAGACAAGTGTAAAGACCATTGGGAATAAACATTCCTTTATATGCCAGATGTCCAAGGAATTATAGAGCCATTTGATGGTACTTAAGAAATATGCTTAGTAAAATAGTATCTGATTGATTTTAAGATCATATCTTATTTTAAGAAGCAACTTCAGCACTTAAGATACTAATTTCTGTCATATAAGTACTGTTTAAAATGTTTTCTCATATCTGAAGACAACAGAATTCTGATAGTAAATAAAAGTAATCTGAATTTTCTTCTTCCGTAGTTGACAATCAGTTGAACTGTTTCACATGAATTTAATTTGATTTTATTCCAACAGTAGTCCTTTTCCTTCACTCTTGTCACCAGCCTGACGCCCCTCATTATGGTAGTGGGGCTTTTGTCATCATTTTTTTGATTGCTTTGTCTCTGTTTTGCTGGGTTTTATTTCAGGGTTTTGTGGGGGGTTTTTTTTGTTTTGTTTTGGGGGGTTTTTTTTGTTTGTTTGCTTTCTTCTTCTTTTGGGTATAAAGCAAGTTATAAAAATTGAACCCTTGCCCTTAGTTTGCAGCTCCTTTTATCTGTCATGCTGGCCCCAGTCTCAGCAGGTAAATTACTCATGTTTTAAAGCAGACACTCTGTCAAATTCCACTGTTTGAACAACTCCTGCTTCAGACTTTTTAACTTCCTTTTCTTCATTATCTAGTTGTGCTTTTTTCTTCACTATATAGTTGTGCTCCTGTCTGAATATCAGCAATGCGGTAGATACAGAGGATACTGAAGATCACCTTAAGCTTCTTCAGCAGTTTCTCCAGTAAATCTCCTCTGACCTCTTTGGTTGGAGTGCTGAGGAATGTGTCCTGACAAAAGTGCAAGACATGGGATTGTTGGTTTTTTTTCCAAGTCCTCTGAGTTCCTTTTATTTTATAAACTCCAGGTCTCTATCTCTTATTTCTTCCCTTCTATTCTCCAAGCCTTTCTGTCTTCTGTAGCAGTTTTTTAAGATGGCATCCACCTGTCTATTTAGATTCATATACAGTGGGATATAGTCTACTGTGGTAAAGTATCCTCAAATGTAATTTTATGCCACTTCCATTTTCCTGCAGACTCCAGTTTTCATGTGTCACTAGTTTCTGAAGAGGTTTTATGTTCTGTAGATCAGCTTTTCAGTGGTTCAGGGAAGGGATATTGGGTGGCAATTACCAGTCTAGCTGTTAATGTACACTCCTGAGATGTGAAACAGACCTTGTTTTCAGAATAGCCTTAAAAGACAGACCTTGGACAGAATGATTC